TCTCTCTTCGCCAAGCATCTATAAGATAGACGGAACATCGCTTTCAATCCAGTCAAAAAACTGCGAAATTACCCTTAAAAACACATTCTTGGGATCAAAATACGCATGAAAGTATTTTTAAGCGAAAAAAAGCAGATAAGCGTTTCTTATAAGATATGACACAGCTGGGCTAAAGCTATCGTTTTGACTTTTGATTATGTATATGCACAAAATACTTTGAAAGCCGAGAATTACCTTAGTGGACAGAAACCTTAGGTGGAAGTATAGTTTTGGACAACCTCTAAGCCTGCTTTTTTCGAAATTTTTGATTTTTTCCTAAATAATCAAACAAAAACAGGGATCCGTTCTATTAGGTTGTCCGGAAATCAACGTCCGTTCTGAATTCCAATCGCAATAAGTCGTACATTTTTCATTCTTAAATAGGCTTCAAAGCATCGTTCGATAGAGCAAAGCAAGCTCTACAAGATGGCGATCTCGCTTAAGCAACACACTGATTCGCCTCGAGTTTCGAGCCAAAAACTAAAACGATTCAACTGCCCGAAAAATCGGGAAAAATCATTACTCAATTCATAAGAGACCTAGAAAAATTCTAACTTGCACGCGTAAACACTATCCACGTAAGACATCTATGTACGCCGTTGCCGTATTTTTTCCTTTGTTAGAAATCAAGAAAACGGAAATTTTCATGCTTTTGCCAAAGTGATACTGTGCCGTCCCCACATAGATAGTTGTATACCACAAGCCTGTAGAAGTACAGACTCAAATTTTCAGCTCTCTACAAGCTTTAGTTCTCGAGAAATTTGAATTTTAGTTTGGACCACCTGACTAATGAAAGCTATAATCGATATTTCCCGAAAACTAAAGCTTGTAGAGAGCTGAAAATTTGAGTCTGTACTTCTACAGGCTTGTGGTATACAACTATCTATGTGGGGACGGCACAGCATCACTTTGGCAAAAGCATGAAAATTTCCGTTTTCTTGATTTCTAACAAAGGAAAAAATACGGCAACGGCGTACATAGATGTCTTATGTGGATAGTGTTTACGTGAGTAAGTTAGAATTTTTCTAGGTCTCTTATGAATTGAGTAATGATTTTTCCCGATTTTTCGGGCAGTTGAATCGTTTTAGTTTTTGGCTCGAAACTCGAGGCGAATCAGTGTGTTGCTTAAGCGAGATCGCCATCTTGTAGAGCTTGCTTTGCTCTATCGAACGGTACTTTGAAGCCTATTTAAGAGTGACTTATTGCGGTTTAAATACAAAACGGACATTAATTTCCGGACAACCTAATAGTTACTAATGGAAGCCTATTAAACACACAACTGTACCAAATTTCGGATCAATTCGTTGAGAAGCAGATGAGCTAAGGCAGTTTTCAGAGTGGACGTATAGTTTTGGCCAGCTGTATACCGTTATCGAAAAAGTGATTTCGATTCGAGAACCCTTAAACCTAGTTTTGGTCTTGTATTGAGATAAAAAATTGACAACCTCCAAGTCCTAATTTTAACCTGGTTAAGCATCATCGGTGCTGAACGTCGACTTCGCAACAAACGAATCGTACTACTGAAAAGAGCAACGTCGAAAACCCCTAAATCCGAAATTTGGTCTTGATTGGAGCAAATTAACTTCTGAACTTCGATTGCGAAATTTTTTGATACTCCGGTTCCATCATCGGGAGCGAACACTAAATGAGAGGCGGGGCTTGCGATGTCTTGGTCTCCTGAGGAGCTAGTGAGTGTAGCGAGCTCAGATGTGCCTGGCAGGCACATCACTTAGGTGCGAGAATATGGCTCTGAGAAACTTCCCCCCCCCCCCCAGATATTCATTGTCGTGCGATTAAATCAAAAATTCAAAATTACGCACTCAGTTCATCTGAAGGTCGCATTTGCAAATAGCAGTGCCCAAGCTGATCAAAGCGTATTGCAATGCGCAAGTTGTGTGATGGACAGAGTCGAACCACGAATAGGAACAAGAGCTTACAGTGAAACATCCGTATAAAAAGACGTTTAGTTGGCTTTTAAAAGCAAAGAAGGATTTATAGGCAACATGCGCTTTGGCTACAGTAATCTAACTGCGTAATGCGCATTTTCTTTCACCTACCAGAGGAGCGTTTGCATCACTAGACGAAACAATAACGATAAGGGCAAAATTTTCTTCGACCATGTAATTTTTGTCATTTTGAAGCAGCGTAGGTGACACGCTTTTAGCGCAAAAAAAGTTCTGCAAGCTTTTCCAAAAACTTTTAGCAGAAAATCAGCAAGTCTAGAAAAACCTACAGAAGTGACTCATCTTCAGTATCAAGGTCAACTACAACATCTCGTACTTCGATTGAAACATTTTCAACTTACCCTGTTCTTTGTTGCTCCATCTCGTCCTTCCGGTTTGCCTAGGTTTTTGAGCCCAATATTCGCCGTTTTGTTCCCTGAGGCATTCTGATCGAGTTAGTCCTGATCGAGTTAGTCCTTAGCGACATCGAGAAAATTTTGAAAGCTGCCTTCACTGTATGACAAGCTAAAGTCTCTATTCTGACAGGATTTACAGATTCTCGTCTTGTATTTTGTCTAAAAACATATAGAAAAATGTTGTGGCTTTAAGAGGTTCGAGTAAATCCATCACTATCCGAGAGGACAAGTGAAAATTACTGTCACAGCTATATACCGAGTGTGTTTACATCAAGAAAAAGTCATCATCACTGATGTAAAAGAAAACTTAGAAATGAAACGATATGGAAAGGAATTGTGATGAAGGGAGCATAAAAGTAAAGTCATTTGCTCTAGATCGAAAAAATCCCGAAGTTAGTCTATTTAACCGTCGCTATTTGTCAAACGAAATCTTTTCGCTGTTTGGTCTCCTATCACGACGAGCTGCAAAATCATGTTGCGGGTAACGATGGATTCAGGCTTTGTGAAGTTTTGACGGTTATCAGTGGTCATTCAGGATCATTTTGATAGCGATCCTTCCTACACGTAGCTTATTTGTTCTGAAGACATCCAGGCTTCAAGACAGTAGTGTAAAGTGTTGATCATTCTGTTATGTTTCCTCTACGGATGTGTCAATGACGAGTTGTCTCCGATTGCGGAAGTATTTGAAAAAAATCTGATTATTTACATGAACAGTTACGTCTACGTGCATCAGTTTTGACTAACGGCTTACATTGCTTTCTGCTAAATCTTAGCTACATGGACGTCCTATTAGCGACCAGCATCTTGGTACACATACTGATGAGCTTTTTCGGTATATTTGCAAATGGCTTGCTTATTTACTTAGTAATATCGAAAACACCAAAAGTAATTCGAACCTATTCTATGCTTATCCTGATCTGCGCCTTTTGTGATTTACTCATCTGCCTTGTTGACATCTTTCTTTTAAACAGGTTTGTCCCATTTATCCTTGGCAAAATGTTGCCCACTTTTAAAGGGGGATACAAGCATTTAATCCTAATTACAAACCCTACAACCCTAATGTGCGGAGTTCGGGACGGCAGTGAAAAACAGTCAGGGGTGGGTCTGCTCCAAAACAGTTTTACCATAATAGTTTTTTTCAATCTAGATAACTTTCAATATATCCTTTGATAAAGGCTCTACAAAATAGTGTTCAAACATTTGCTTCGATTTCGATCCGCGCGAGCTTTTAAGCCCAAAATTAGAAAAATTCCAAGCGAAAAATCGAGGTTAAATTTTAAACAATCGCAACTCCGACCAAAAATCCTAATTGTATTTTTTACAGTAACTGGTTTGGGAGAAATATTAAATTGTTGGCAACCTAGCACGAAAGACCTGCTTAGTGAATACTAGATTGGATATTTTTCGTGAGCTAACGTTTTTAGAAAGCTAAAAATATACGGTAGTACTTCCAAAAATTCGTACTGTACAAGCACTAAAGCTCAGCATTGGTTTGACAAAACATGTTGGTTTTCCTTAATTCTACTTCTAACAGGTAAAACTGAGCAACTGCACATACAAATTTTTGATACGGAATGTATTAGGGTGGCACATAAGTAATGCAACTTTTTACATAAATTTTGTCTTTATAAACATAGCGCATTCATTATCTGGCAATACAAGGATTATGATGTAGACTGCAAGCAGACATTTTTGCCGAATTTCATCATACTACGAGGGTTACGGTAGGTTTACGGCATAATGGGATAAATTTTACATTGCGTCAGATTTTGCTAAAACTTAGGCCATATCAGTTATTCATGCTAACAAAAAATGAGATCCGTTCCGCATGAAAAAGCCTCTTTCGTAAAGACAAGGAATAAATATCATCTTAGCGACAAATGAATAGATATTCGTGCTCCCTATATTAGATTACTCTGTGCAAAGTTTTAGCGAATTCTGAGGCTTTGCAGCTTAGCTGTTAACAGATGGCCCCTAAAACTTGGCGCATTTTTGTTCAACTCCTCAAAGGCGCCTTATCTTTATTTGTCTTTAAGCTTCACTTCTTTTTTTACTGATTTTAATTGGCAACTTTTAGCTACTTGCTGTATATAATTTCTTGACATTTTAATTGACGTTTTGTACGGCTTCATGTTTGCCAAAAACCGTGCAACCTCGATTTTCAAGGATTTTCGAAAAATGCTTGAATTTTATCTACGTTATCAAAAATGAAACGGTCTGTGCAGACTTGCAGCTTACATCAAATTCTACATGATGCCAGAGCATGAGAGTGCTAGATTAGATAAGAAAAATTATTGGTAAAGCTGCAAAACTTGCCAAACTAACATATGGCTGAGCAAGTAAAGATTTTCGTAGGATTGTTATAAACAGGTTTACGAATTTTTTCGATTTTTCCTCGATTTCGGGTTTATGTTCGACTTCGAAGCTCGTGCTTTAAGAATTGTCTTTTAGAGCTAGCTTTGCTCTATCGAATGATATGTCAGAAACTACTCAGAATATAGACGAAATATGAATTAATTTGTAGCGTATCTGGTGCAACACCTATGTTCCAACTCAATACTTTTAGCTCAAACTGTATGTTCTCTAGTGAACAAGTTTCAGAATGATTCCGGGTGGTGGAGGTCTCTTCTACTTTTCGCATGGTCCTTGCCGGTATATAGGACCATTTGCTTGTTATGTTGGGTAAGAGAAGCAATTGGATTTATACATTGCAAACAGTGTATGGTTTTAGATTCAGCTTCCTTCTGCACTGCTACACCTATGGCTTGTACAGTTTGGTGTTTTCGTTCTGTTACCGCTATTATATTCTGTTGAGACCACCACCAAAAATTCGAAATGTTGCAATGTACTTGATTCTTCTCTATGTTCCATCTTTGCTTCAATTTGTGAGTTTCTGCTAACCCTAAAACAACGTGCTGTTGACAAGACTCTGTATTTTATATCTTTTTAAGGTAGTATTCAACCTTTCTAGCGATTCTGAAAATTTGGTTAAAAGCCGAATTACCAAGGTCTTTGGCTACGATATGAGCACTGAATGCGTTAGCGGTACCGCTAGAATTCTGGTTGGAAAGCATTACTTCCATCATTACATGTGACTTGTACAATCACACCGGCCTACATTATTATTTTGGTGTTAAGAAAAAGAATTGTGAGGAACCTATGCGCCCATAAAACTATGTCGCAAAGTACAAAACATCTACAGACTCAGTTATTGAAGGTCACATCAAAAGATTTTAACCGCTTTTTCAATTTAATAACTTATATATAGGCGATCACATGCCAAGCAATCATCCAGCGTTTTACTCCTTCGCCGTTGTCATGTATTCGTTGGGTCAACTCGATATTCTCTACGATCCAGTTCTCGAACATTTCTCTCTCGTTATGGCGCATTTCATTCCTATGCTAACTCCACTGGCATCATTGTACTTTATCCAACCTTATCGCATGTGGATTGGAAAGAATCTTCTACGGAGCTCCACCGCACAATCTTCTGTCTCAGGAGTTTATACCTTGTCGACGTCGCAGCGAGACATTGTGTCATCTCCAACTAGCTCTTGATTATGTTTTTAGAAATTGATGCAAAAACTTTGACCTTTATATAAGCAAGTATATAGTTCATTTTCATGAAAACGTAACTATCCTACAATAAGCTCTTTGTTACTGGCTATGGCAAAATGGTTAAGCGTCTTGTTGCCGTACATTCAGGTTTTTCGATGCCCACGGTAACTTTTGAGGCTTAATGCTGTTTGAAGATTGTGCAAAATTAACCATCTAGTAATTCGTACAGAAACATTTATTGTGATTGACAAGTATAAACAGTTTGTGCAGGCTGACTAGCATTTCTGGCACATGTTGGCATCTGGCAACTTTGGAAATGAAATCTTCTTTGGGTTCAGAACTACAATAGAGGTTGCTGTACTGTAAAATGAAGAAATACCATTCTCGATTCGCTGTGAGAAAAAAAATTACAACAAGTGATGGCTGAGTAACTTGAAGTGCACTTTTGTGACCTCAGGACTGAGCAGCTTTGGAGAGTTTTATGAAGGCCGTAAAAAAGCAGAGTGGGCAGGGTTTGAAGCGACTTTGGTGCTGGATGCAGCTACCAATGTGAAGATCTTCTATATGGTAACTTCAGAAATCATTCGAAAAAAGGATTGACGCCAGCTCAAGTGTTACCTAAGTCCCCGGATTGGTGTCATTTTACTGGATGTTTAGACAAGTGCTATAGTTTTTTGGGGCACAGGTTTGAATCCCGTTCTGTGAGATTGTTTTAGTTTATTTGAGTGAGGGCTCTGTTCAAAGTCCTGCCGTTTCTGCAAAACCGATACCCTCATTTATCTCCTCAGAACCGTATTCAGCTTGTCCCGCTATGTCGACCGTGCCGAGCCCTGCTGAGTAACCAATGAACACTTCTTCTTTTCCCCCAACTACACAATGAGCCATATTTGAGCTTTGAAGGCATTGCGAAATGAGCTCCACGAGAATTATACCGGAAACAGAATTCCTCAACAGAAGACACGCCTGAAATATGCGAAAAAGTCATTGGATAGGTGGTAGCTAAGCCCAATTTGTTCTGAATTATGTCTGCCATGAATGCTGGAGTCTCGGAGGCATCCCTGTTTTTGATTTGCTGAATTGGATGGTTTCGATTATTCCTATTGTTCACTTCTTAACTATAAACATTCTCGATTTACCGATGTTTAGAGTCGGAGAGCTCCGCTAAGCGAATGGGACAAAGTAGTTAAAACATTGATCCGGTCTCTTCACTTGATCTCGCACCGTTCATGTTCCCGTACCTGTAATATAAATGAATCTTGATGTTACACTAACGATTATCCGACTAGCCATCCTCTAGTTCCTCCTCTTCTCCAATTGTCTTGATTCGTTTAGTATCCAACTCTAAGGCTGAGTTACCAAGAATTAGAGCCCTCTCTCATATTCTGCGAAAATGCCAATGCTTACAGCTGCCCTGGAATTGAGCCGTTGATAAAGTTAACATTTGCTGTCGCATCCCACCCTCCGTCGTAGCATTCGCGGTCGTCGCACGAGTTTCAGTGGGTGGAGGTACGAATACGAAAGCACATACCTGAAACCAGATGCTTCGGCTATAATGTTGTTTTTTCAAATCATTGTATAGCCCGTCTACTTGTTAAGGAGCATTTTTCGAAGAAAGCGATATAGGCAACATATCAAGTGCGGATGATTATACGAACACATAAAATCTTGTAAGTTTTCGGACTTTTGGGAGAAACTCAAAAAGCCGTTGGTACTACGCGATAGAGCAAGCCGAAAACGGTATATGATTTATAAGAATGGAAATTGATGTCAATCTTAGGAGTGTTTTTGCGCCTAATGAATTTTCAGCGATTCATAATTATACGAACACCTCAAACAAAGGTCCATTTTTCATTCAAGATTGCAATCGTTTGAGTCCAAATTTTTTGTAGAGGCACAGTAACAATGTCTGACATATCTGCTACACATTGAAGTCACTGCAGTTCAAAGAGAGGACCGTTACTTTTTCAGAATGCTCTAAATGCTTTTGGAGTGATTATGCTCCAAAAACATCCGTTCTTCTGTGGTTTACGCGCTCTAATTAGCTTCTACCGAAGCTATGAGATAAAATAAGCTCTTTCGATAGGTATTTTGTTTGAAGTTTGGAAAATCTTTGCGTTTTCGCGCCGTTTTTCAACCACATTCCAACCTTACCACAGAGTTGGCACGATTTCGAGCCACAAAACTCAGCTCTGAAGCCGCACAACGATGAGCATATAGTATATAGAAGTTCACAAGACTGTTTATTTCGCTATTTCGCTGCGTTGAGCGTTTGTTTTGGCAACAGACGTCATTTCACCAAAAACATTGTTTATACTATTGCAATCACACCTTTATTTGGTTTGTAGCTAGCTCCACAGCCTCAAAATCAGTTTTACAAAAAACCCAAAAACTTTGGCACAGAAACATCATCATGCAAGCAATGCAGCTGCTTCATATCAAATGTTCGCGAAGGAGAAAAGCTGAGTTTTGAGGCTCAAAATTGTGCTAACTCTGTGATAAGGTTGGAACTTGGTTGAAAAACGGCACGAGAACGCAAAGATTTTCCAAACTTCAAACAAAATACCTATCGAAAGAGCTTATTTTATCTCATAGCTTCGGTAGAAGCTAATTAGAGCGCGTAAACCACAGAAGAACGGATGTTTTTGGAGCATAATCACTCCAAAAGCATTTAGAGCATTCTGAAAAAGTAACGGTCCTCTCTTTGAACTGCAGTGACTTCAATGTGTAGCAGATATGTCAGACATTGTTACTGTGCCTCTACAAAAAATTTGGACTCAAATGATTGCGATCTTGAATGAAAAATGGACCTTTGTTTGAGGTGTTAGTATAATTATGAACCTCTAAAAATTCGCATTAGGCGCAGAAACACTCCTAAGATTGACATCAATTTCCATTCATATAAATCATACACCGTTTTCGGCTGTGTTCTATCGCGTAGTACCAACGGCTTTTTGAGTTTCTCCCAAAGAGTCCGAAAACATACAAAATTTTGGGTGTTCGTATAATTATGAACCGCGCTTTAGGCCTCAGTGCCGACCAGCTTTGAAAGGGCGAAAGAGTTTCTTTACGGCAAGCCTGACACAAAACTCCCAAAAGCACCAGTATGAGCATAGCTGCTATTCATTTAGGCGACCTGGTCGAAAGTGCCGCTGAAATCGTTTGTGTTGCCAGGAGATGGATATGGTGGTAGGCTCTTCAAGAAAGTCTTTTTATTTATTAATCTACAAAGCTGAGAGGATTATCGTACAGAAGTTGTCGAGTTTCATTCGAGCTTATGCATTGAGCACCTGATAGTGTAAGCTGCGCCGAGAGATCCAGAGCGTATATGTAATTCGTAGCTTAGGGCCGCATGCACTATTATCCCCGCAGGGAGGGGATCGCAGCTTGAAAGACAGCTTTATATTTCGAAACTCTAAATACCTGGATTTCACGTTGTGTACCTATCCGTAAGTATTCCTACTACCCTTCACTATGAATATGTTGAAGAGGAGCGAGAAGCTGTACGAACCGCATTTTCCAGCTTTTGTGTGATCCCTGTGATCCCCGGCGCTTTTCTTTAAAGTCATTTTTCTTTCTCCGAAGTTAACGAAAACCTTCCAAGCTTGTACTGAACATCTAACACAACAGTGCTAAGCATGTTGCTGATGAGAACAAATGAGTTTTTGAAAAGTCGAAATTTTCGGTAAACCTCAAATTTCGACCTATGGACCATTGAAAATTTCATGACTTCAAAACATCATTTGTGCTTATCAGCAACATGCTTAGCACTGTCGGGTTAGATAATCTGCACAACTTTGGAGGTTATTTGTTAACTTCGCAGAAAGAAAAATGACTTTAAAGAAAAGAGCCGGGGATCATCAGGGATCATACAAAAGCTGGGAAATGCGGTTCGTACAGCTTCTCGCTCCTCTTCAACATGTTCATAGTGAAGGGTAGTAGGAATACTTACGGATAGGTACACAATGTGAAATCCAGGTATCTGGAGTTTCGAAATATAAAGCATTCTTTTAAGTTGCGATCCCCTCCCCGCGGGGATAATAGTGCATGCGGCCCTTAGAGCATACGACGAGTTCTTTGAATACATTTTTTTGAAATGTATCACAATCACCACTTTTGTGGAAACCGTGTTATCTCAACTACAACCAACCGGCTACGAAAGAAATGAGCAGAGAAAAATGTAATTTGATCAACATGTTCAATATTTGAAATGGAGAACTTCTTTCATAATGAACGCTTGAGAAAGGTTAAAGGTGTGCCAAACGCTGATTGATTAGAATTAAAAGAGCGTTAATGCAATACTTTCTTTCTTCAGCAAAAGCAAATGTCAGCTTTCCTTTTGTATACCTTCCAGGGAGAACATCACCTTGCATGACAAACGGTATTATACGGTAGCATTTTCTGATAACTTATCTACAAAGGGTATTTCTGCAATTTCTGATGAAATAGGTTCAAAGAAGTGAAGCTGTTGGATCACAGTACATAGCTTTTGCTGCCCAAAATCGCTACGTGCTATAGCTGCGTATTTTTCGCAACGTAT